ACGCCGGCGCGCCAGGTAATCCCCAACAAGTGGCGAGGCGTCGAGCGAGGCGGATGGCACCCACGTGTCGTCCTCACTGGTGCGGTCAGTCCAGCGGATTAGAAAATCCACGTGTCGTCCAGCTGCGTCAATGCGGACCCTATGTGCCAAAATCTTCGATGGGTCGAGAGTCGGCTCCGGCACAGGTCGTGCTGTCGGGGCAGCTTGCTGACGTGCGATATCGGTCGTGGCTGGCACGAACTTGCGAAGAAGGCTGACGTGGAAGGCGTCGTGAATGCGCCAGTCGTCTGGTAGCAACAGCTTCGCGGTGACAGGTGTCACCATCTTGAGAATCTTGAAAGGTCCACAAAATCGTGGCCGTAGTTTCGACGGGCCGGGCAGGTGCAGGTTCTTCGTGTCAAGTAGCACTAGTTGCCCAGTGGTCAAGACGAGTTCCCGGCGTAGAAGGTTGGTGTATTTTCGGGAAGTAATATTCGCCTTGCGGATGGCGTCGGCGGCTTTTCCTCGGACTTCCTGAAGTTCCGTCACGAAAGTCTGTGACCTCGGGACCGGGTTGTCGAGAGTGGTTGCCGTAGGAACTGTCGGGTCCATCCCGTAATTTAGAAAAAACGGGGAGTGATTAGCCGTGCTGGACGGTGCGTTGTTGAAGGCGAACTCCAACATTGCGAGGGAGTCTTCCCAGCGGGCAGGGTCGGGGCAGTTTGTCCTGATCAGCTGCTCCATGGTCTGATTGGTCCGCTCGGTTTGACCGTCCGTCTGTAGGTGATATGCCGATGAGAACTGTAGCTTCGTGCCGTACTGCGCCCACGTCTCCTTCCAGAACTTTGATGTGAACTTCGGGTCTCGGTCGCTGATGATCGCCGAAGGGATGCCGTGCAGTCGCACGACCGTTGAGATGAAGAGGCGCGCAGTTTCTTCGGCTGTGATTGTCGTTCGGCATGGTGCGAAGTGCGCCATTTTCGTGAAGCGATCGACGACGACGAGAACAGCGTCGTTGCTGGACGGCCCAGCTGGCATCCCCGTGACGAAATCCATCGTCACTTGCTGCCACGGTCGTTCGGGTGGCTCGAGGGGTTGCAGCAGTCCAGCTGGCCGCTGACGTGTCGATTTCATTGCTTGGCACACCCTGCATGAGGACACATAGCGCTGCACGTCGTTAGAGGAATCAGGCCAATAGTATTGACGGTGCAGTAGTTTCTGGGTTTTATCAACCCCGAAGTGTCCGGAGAAGTTCGAATCGTGGACCTCTTGGATAAGGAGTTCACGCAGCAGCCTGTAAGCGGGGACCCAAATCCGGTCGGTTCCGGCCTTTAGATAATAGTCCCCTTTCTGCGTCGTAGCCTGCCGATGATTTCCCGTCGTGAAGAATGGGTCCGTAGTGTAGCCGTGGGTAAATAGTCCGGTAAGTAACGGGTTCGAGTGGGTGATGAGTACTGCAGCGGATTGTACTGTCGGTCGGGTCAGGGCGTCTGCGATGTTATTCGCCCCCTTTTTGTACGTGATGCGGTAGGTGAAGTGGCTCTCCATGTAGTCCAGCCACCGAATCTGTCGTGGGTTGAGATTGGGTTGGGCTCGCAGGTACTGGAGGGACTTGTGGTCCGTGCGAACAGTAACGTCGGCGCCCACCAGGTAGCATCGCCATAATTTAAACGCGTGTATGATGGCGAGCATCTCCTTGTCGTGGATCGGGTAGTTGCGTTCAGCCGCCTGCAGCTTGCGTGATTCGTAGGCTATCGGCTGCAACCCGTTCCTGAAATCTTGGAGTAGCACAGCTCCGATGGCGAAATCTGAGGCGTCGGTGACGACTTCGAACGGCTTCGATGGGTCGGCGATGCGCAGCACAGGAGGGGAAACTAGAAATTTCTTGAGTTCCTGGAAAGCCGCTTCTGCCTCCTCCCCCCACACAAAATTTCTGTCCTTGTGCAGCAGGTCGGTCAGCGGGCCGGTTATCCCCGCCATATTCGGGATGAACCGCCTGACGTAATTCACGAATCCGAGAAAACTCTGGAGTTCCGTGACATTCGTCGGGGACTTCCACTCCTGTATGGTCTTGATTTTCACCGGGTCGATTTTAATGCCGTCGCGTGAGATGACGTGCCCCAAAAACTCCAACTCCTGCTTAAAAAACTCGCACTTAGAGCCCTTGGTGATGAGTCGGTCTTGCAGCCGCTTAAACACTGCATCCAGGTCACGGAGGTGCTGCTCTCGTGTCTTGCTAAAAATGAGGATATCGTCCAAATAGACGATGACGCATCGGTCTAGAAGATCCCGAAAAACCCTGTTCATGGTCAGTTGGAATGTTGAAGGCGCGTTCGTGAGGCCGAAAGGCATCACCGTGAATTCGTAACTCCCGTAGCGTGTGCGAAACGCGGTCTTGTGACAATCGTTGGCGAAGACCCGAATCTGGTGGTAACCGCCACATAAGTCTATTTTCAAGAAGTAACGAGCGCCGCGAAGCTGGTCAAGAAGGTCGTCGGTGCGTGGGATTGGGTAGCGAGACTTGATGGTCACCCGGTTCAACGCGCGATAATCGATGCACATGCGAAGCCCACCGTCCTTCTTCGGAGTGAACAGGATCGGTGCCGCGAACGGGGAGGTGCTCGCCCGAATGAACCCTTTCTCCAACAGTGCGTCAATTTGTCGGCGCAGCTCCTCGAGTTCCGGCTGGGTCAACCGCCACTGTGTTCGAACCGTCGGTTGCGCGCCAGGCTCCAGCTGGATTTTATGGTCTTCTGGTCTCTCGGGTGGCAGCCCAGGTGGCAGGTCGTCCGGGAAAATGTCGGGGTACTGTCGAATCAGCTCCGCTAAATCCGGAGGTACAGCTGCACACAGCTTCTCAATGTCCTTTCCGTCGGTGTCGACTGCCAACTCGCGTAAGCAGACAGCGAACAGCTGCGCGCCCTTGTTGAAGTGGCGAGCTATAGTGATGGCTTTGACGCACGGGGCTTGGATGTAGTCAGGTCTCCATGCAGGCAGCCGAATTAGCCCCTCGTGCTTGCTGATGCTGCACGATCCCGTTGTCCAGTCGATGACGGGGTTGTGTCGTCGCAGCCAATCGCGTCCCAGCAACACGTCGCAGCCGTCCAATGTTGTCGCGAGAAACTTCATGCTGAAGCCGAAATCGTCGCCGCATTCGATCCTGACCGTCCGTGTTTCTTCCGTTATCGCCAGAGGCGTCCCATCCACGAGGCGTGCGTCGATTTCGGGCAGACACCTGTCAAGTTGCAGCTTGCATCTTTTTGCGCTCGCCAAATTGAAGAGGCTATGGCTGGCCCCTCCATCGACGAACATTTTCAAATTATTTTTTAACACCTTGCCAGCGACCAGCACAGGGTGATCCACATGATTATCCCCGTTATTCGGCCGAGTGCGATCGATTGCATGAATCGGAACCACGACTCGATGGGGATGATGGTGTTCGGGCGACGGAGCACAGTCAGTAAAGGGCCCGCTAATTACTGACTCTTCCCATTTCCCTGCTCCTTCATATCGTCCCCTGTCAACGGCATTTTCTCCTGGCAGTCTTTCCTGTAGTGACCCACCTTCCCACACCGAAAACACTGACCCTTAGGAGGGCGGTCGGGTGTATGGACGGCGTTGATCGTGGCCCGATGGGTCTGGCCACGAAAGCTTCTCCCATCCCTGGAAGCTGCTCTCGCGTACTGCATCAGCGCATCAGTTGACTCCGCCACTCGTACTGCTTCGAGGAACGATGTCGGGCGGCTTCTGCGGACCTCAAACTGTATTTCATATTTAAGGTCGCTGACGTACTTATCCAACCGCTCTGCTTCCGACATGTCGTCAATTTGGTCGGCGAAGCCCATAAATGACGCTGTGTAGTCTTGGACAGAAGCCATCTGCGACCATGCACGCAGCTTCATGCGAGCTTGCTCCGAGGCGGATATGTGCTCGAAGCGATCTCGTAAGGCTGCGCCCCACTCCTTCCACGTGCGTATCTTGGTCACACCGAAGATTGGTTCTGCCACTTGATTAACCACTGTAGAGGTCCCGTCTGCCGCATGTGTCACACCTGTCGGCGTCCCTGTTTCCAAGGTCCGGCGCCACCATTCAAGCGCTGCACCTCGAAGAAGCGAAACCGCATAATTAATACGCGTGGCGTCGTCATTAACTCCGGCTGCAGTAAAAAAGACTTCGACCCCGAACAGCTACCCTTTTACCGTAACCGTCTTGTCCGTAGGATTAAACGGGGGCGGGTTGGCGGGCTTTATCTTGATCGTCGTCACTGCAACTGGCGCTGCTGCCGCTCGCTGCCTATCTTCTTCTTCGAAGTCACGTGTGAGCGCATCCAGCGGATTGCTCATCGCTTGACTGTTGCCCTCGCCTTCGTCCACAGGCGACTCCTGACGCGCTTCACCTCGCGTCTGGCGTAGCTCGGCGTTTTCCTCCCGTAACGTTGTCACTTCCACCATTAATGATTCCATGCCCTGCTTCATTTCTGCCACTTGCGCCATCAGCCGGTTAACATCCTCCTGATCCATGTACCTAGCACTACGTCTGGTGGGCAGTCGGGTACCCGTGGCCTCCCGGCAAGTGAAAACACGAACTATCGGAGTCGGGCAGGATTGAATTAACAATCCCTGCAACCAACCGTCATGTAGTCACTAAACCAACCACACCCGTGCCACCAAACTACCCTCGAAAAGCGGGGTGAACTAGGAAAGTAGCTCTGATACCAGGTGTTGTGAGCTGTAAAAGAGAGTGCGCAGGTAAACGAATAACGAGGCTATGACTGAATCAACTGCGAATACAATGAATGCACAGACTAATGTAGGGCTAGCCTAGCTAGGAGGAAACCTCGGACAAGCGAGGTTGGATGCAGGTTGGGCGATGGAAATGCCGAAGGCGACGCGAGGAGCCTCGGCAGCGTTGAAATCGGCCGAACGTGCGAACTCCGAAAATCGGGTTGTACGCGAAGCAGTCAACCCCGATAAGGAATTCAGGAAAATTCCTTACAGCTAGCGTCTTTCTCACCTCCTGTTATGCCAGTCCAAGACAATGCTCCATCGTATTGCTCAGCACAGGTCCCTCGCGCGCCAGCCGCCACGAATCCCTCATTCTTCCGCAGCAGCTCGTCTCCCCCTCTCCCCCCCCCCCCCCCCCCCCTCCCCGCAGTGCCTCACCCCAGTCTTCCCGTGCGCCAGCGCCCGTTAGCGCTGCGCGGCGCGCATCGCCCATCACCCCATGCACCACGACCCCTCCGCGTCTCTCCCGCCAGCCCGCTCGCATCCCGCGCGCCCTGCGCGGGTCTCCAATCTCTCCTCCGCGCTCCGCGCCGCTGCCCCCGCCACCGCCGATTCGGCAGCTTTCGGTGCGGGAAGCGAGCCTGCAGGCGCAGGCGCGGCGGAAGCAGGAGTAAACGCAGAGGTCGCGGAGGGAGGGACGGGCGGGGGCGGGGGGGCGGGTCACGCGAGTCAAGGCGGAGTGGGCGGGTTTTCGGCGGAGTCGCAGGATTTCTGGGTGGTGAAGCACGGGTGGGGTGTGCCGACGGGCGTAGCGCGGGGATTAGGGTTTACGGCGGCGCAGGCGGAGGCGGCGGCGGCGACCGGCAGGGAGGTGGTGGCGCCGAGGGGCGCGGGCGAGATGGCAGCTCCAGCGGCGATGGCGCTGCATTCCGCGGGGACACACGGCGCGACGCACAGCGCGCACGCGCACGACGCGGCAGCGCCGGGGCTGACTAGCGGAGGCAGCGGCAGCGGGGGGGAGTGGAGCGTGCTGAAGGAGTTCGGGCGGTGGCGCAAGGACGACCCGACGACGGCCGTGGCGGTGGCGGCCGTGAAGGCGCTGACGGCCGTGATCGAGCGCAGCGAGGCGACGACGGTGATGGGCCTCGAGGTGGAGCTGCGCCGCGCGTGCGACGACCTCAAGGTGCGCCGCGCGCGAGTCATGGCGCATGGGGGTAACGCGGGGATGGCCGCACGGGATGCATGGCGGTAAAGGGAAATACGCAGGGAAGGGATGGTTAAGGGGAGTGAGAAGAGCAGCCAGGCGAGGCTCCGGGGCTCTCGCCTTGTGTGCATGCCTGTTTGTCCCCACGCTCATCATCCACGCCGTGCCTCTGTGCCCTCCCCACTACGCGTGGCCCCGATGGCAGCGCGAGAGCAGCGGGTGCATATCGCTGCGCGCGGCGTGCGACATCTTCCTGTGCTTCGTGAGCCGCACGTCCGTGGAGGCGGACGACCTGCCCGCCGCCAGGGCGCGCCTCATCGAGCGCGGGCAGCGCTTCAGCGGCATCTCCCTCAACGTGCGCTCCGCTCCTTGCATGCCCGCCCACCCCTCTCCCACCGCCCCTCCTTGCGCCCTCCTCCTGTGCTCCTCCTTTTCTTTCCTACCTGTCTTCATCTCCCCACCCTCTGCTTCTCCAGCTCATTTCTTGCTGCTTGCTTGCTGCCTTACCTCTCACCGGCTTGCCTCCCACATTTGCACTCTTCCTCGTGTGTTCACGCGTCCCCCACGCCCTATCTGTACCCCCGCCTCCTCCTGTTGAGTGGCACCATGACAACAGGCGCGGCGCACGATAGCGATGCTGGGGCAGGAGTTCATCACGGACGGCTGCGTCATCCTCACTCACGGCTTCTCCCAGGTGCCCCGCCCGCTTTCCCCTCCCCTCCCCTCCCCTCCCCTCCCCTCCCCTCCCCTCCCGTCCCCTGGGGCTGCATGTGGCACGTGCAGCACATGGCATGGCGGACGGCAGTGCCACCCACGCACTGTCATGCGTGCACACCCTCATGCATGGCTCCTTGCTTGCTTGCTCGTCCCCGTGCCAACCCTGCTTTTCATTACAATCTCAAGTGGAACCAATCGGTAGAGAAGCAAATGGCAGCACGCACATGCCGCTCCCCTGCTGGTGCTCCCTGGCAGGTGGTGCTGGCTCTGCTGTCCGAGGCAGCTGCTCGCGGCAAGTTCTTCTCCGTCATCGCCACCGGTGCGCTGCCTGGCTGTGATGCTGTGCTGCCCTCATGTGCACACGCACCCAAACCACCTCAACCAACCAACCACCCCACACACACATACCCACAGACCCACCCACACACACACATACCCGCAACCCACCCAAAGACAAACGCGCCCACACACTCTACACACCCGCGCACACACGCACACCCCCCCCCCCACACACACTTGAACCCTCACCCACACGCCCACACACCTAATCACACACACACGCGCACGCGCTCTCCCCCTCTTTCCTCCTCTTCCCCCTCCTCACGCACGCCCTCTCCCCACGTCCATGCACGTTCACACATGTAACCGCACAAGGTGCACTTACACACTTGCACACCACAAGTGGAAACCCTGATTTCCACTTCTTCCTCTCCGGTCCCCTTACCCCACCTTTTCCTCCTCCTCCCCCTCGCTCCCTCCTCTCCAAACTGAAGTGATATGTGTGGTGTGGTTGTGATTACAAGATCCGCACATGAAAATCACCACTGCTTCTAATGTCAACTCTTGCCACACAGTAATGTCCTCACTTGCCCATCTTACCTGCACCTCGTTCAAGTGGAAACGAGAGTACCTATAAGCTCCTTGGTCATTCCATCTGACCACCGACCTGTGCCATCCATGAATCCGCTCCAACCACCCCCTCCCAGAGGGCCGCATGGATGCAGCGGGGCAGCGCATGGCAGCACAGCTGCAGCGCGGCGGGGTGCCGGTGACAGTGGTGGTGGACGCGGCCATGGGCGTGGCGGTGGAGCGGTGCGACATGGTGCTGTGCGGTGCGGAGGGCGTGGTGGAGAGTGGTGGAGTGCTGTCGGCGGTGGGCGTGTTCCCCCTGGCCATGGTGGCCAAGGCCATGGGCAAGCCCTTCTATGTGGCCGCTGAGAGCTACAAGGTGCGTGCTCTGCTGCCCCACCCGCCCTGTAGGGAGGGGAGGGGGTTTGCCTGTGCAGGGGGTGGGCAGAGGGCGCATGGCCTGCAGAGGTGCTGTGGCGTTGTGGTGGGCCGTGGGAAAGGGATTGAACACGTGGACCAGGACAGCAAGGCAGAGGGAGAGGGGTAAACGAGAGGAGAGAGGGGAGGGGAGGGCGGGGAAGGGGGTGAGGGAAGGGAGGGAGGGGAGGGAGGGGAGGGAGGGGAGGGAGGGCAGGGAGGGGAGAGAGGGGAGAGAGGGAGGGACTACGGAAGGGAGTAAGAGAGGGATGAATAGGGAAGGAAGGGGAGGGGAGGAGAGGAAGAGGCTGAAGGTGGGGTGACGAGGTGGAGGTTTACAACAGCTGTTGAAATGTCTGGAGGCCCCTGGTTGAATGCCGTGGATTGATTGGAAACAGGGATTGGTGTGATGGGCGCAGAAAGAGCAGGTAAGGGCCGTGTGAGTGGGGTTAGGGAACAAGGCAAAGAGGGAATTCGTCTTTTATGCTGCCTTCAACTCTCCTCTCTCTGCCCTCATCTCCTCCCTCGTGTCCCTCACCTGTCTCCTCCACACCCCCCCACCTGTTGAGGCCAGTTCGCGCGCATGTTTCCATTGGATCAGAACGACTGGGAGCAGGGCATCAGCGCACCGCCCTCCCTCACTCGCCCGCCAACCTCCCTCCCTGCTGCTGCTGACTCAGCGCGAGCAGCAGGCGTGGTGGGGGCAGAAGCAGCGCCGGTGGGGCCGAAGAGGGAGTATGCGCCGCCGCATGTGCTGACACTGCTGTTCACGGACCTGGGCGTGCTCACCCCCGCTGCTGTCAGTGACGAGCTCATCCAGCTCTACCTCTGATCTCACCACCTCCCTGCCACCGCTGCCTGCTGCTGCTTGTGCACCACAATGGCAAAGGGCGTCTTTTGAAGTTGAAGTACTTGCCCCATGAACGTTTCACACACATGAACGAGACATTCTTCACCACCTCTTGTAGATGTGGAATTGTTTCCTTTGATGCGCCATAATTTTTGTGAGAAATGCCCCCAGTGTAGTTACTACAAAGTTTAGTGGGTTGTGTCCAGGTTAGAAAGGTTATTGACAGACTAGGAGTCTCTAATGGTGGATCATTGCCATGCCATGCTCCTTCATGAGTTCTTGATGATTCATTCTCATCCGGGCACAGCTGCTGTAGGCTCAACCATGTAGGATTTGAGGCATACGGTATTGTCAAGAACGGAATGGTGATGTTCACTAAGGTTGGTTGGGGTACATAAACCTAAGGACGCGGCACCTCTAGGGAAATTGTCAGGATCGGTGGGGGATCGGGTCCTCACGCCGGTTTAGGCACATCGATCCGCATGCCGATGTGTCCACACTGCAGATTTGCAATCGCCTGGACACACCGAGCCACAGGTGACAGGATCGAAAATACATGGGGCAAAAATGCCCGATCTCCACAATTTCACGATCGATGTGTGGGCGTTGGCACATCGATCGTGCGAGCCAGAGGTGCCACCATTTTGGGCACCAATTTACTGTACATTTGCGAGGTGGGGCGAAGACGGATACCAGCCTGTTGGCGATGTCGCGATTTCACTGTACAAGGCAGGATCGATCCCCACTCAGGATCGATCGTGGCTTCCTCCCTAGAGGTGTCGCGTCCTAACCATAATTGTTGTCCCCCATATGACACACATCACTAAGACTATAACATCTGACACACCCCCATAGCCTAAGTGAGGGGTGTCAAGCAAACAAACAACGTACGGTTACACGACCAGTCACAAAGCAACAAAGCTCAGGGTGAATCATAATGACACCAAGCACTCTGAGCATAAGCAAAAGAGCCACAAGGCCAGTTCAAGAGTTCACAGAGGTATATATAAAGCGTACAAACAAAGCAAACAGAGAACTCAAGACTACGCAAGGCGAGAACCTGTGTCAACGAGACATAACTGCAGACAACACCTCTGGTGGTCACAAGGCGGAAGGGACTTGGTGAAGATGTCTGCTGTGTTGGTCTCGGACTCCATAAAGTTGAAGCGAGCCTGCCCGCGCCTCTGCACCTCTCGCAGAAGAAAGTACCTGACGTTTATATGCTTCACTTTGCTCTCCAGTCACGGCTCTCGACGGAGGAGAATCGACGCCTTGTTGTCAGTGAACAAGGTCGGTGCTGTCAGATTTATATGACTTAGCTGCTGTAGGCTATAGTGGGGTAGCACATATGGGGTACAGCTTTCTAGGGTTTGTACTTGTACCCAACTTTCCCTTAGTCTTTTCATTCCTCGTTCATTTTCACATGGTATAGAGCAGGTTCCCCTGTGGGAACTGTTCCTAGGGCCCACCAACTTTTTTTTTTTCCTGCCCGGAGCGCGCTCAGCCTCTGCCCGAGTCGCGCTCCCCTCTCACGGCCCCGTCGCGCCGCCCTTACGACCCCGTCGCGCCGCCTCAGCGGCCCCGTCGCGTCGCGCCTCCCTAGCGGCCCCGTCGCGTCGCCCTTGCGACCCCGTCGCGCCGCCCTCGCGGTCCCGTCGCTTCGCGCCGCCCTCGCGGCCCTTTCGCGCCGCCCTCGCGGCCTCCTCGAGCCGCCCTCGCGACCCCTCCACGCCGCCCTCGCGGCCCCGTCGCCTACCCTTGCGGCCCCGGCGCCACCCTTCCCGGCCCCGGCGCCGCCCTTCCCGGCCCCGGCGCCGCCCTTCCCGGCCCCGGCGCCGCCTCTGCTGGCCCCGTCGCCCCACCCTTGCGACCCCGCGGCCCCACCCTTAAGGCGCCGGTCGCCACCCTTCGTGGCCCCGCCGCCGCCCTCAGCGGCCTCGTCGCCGCCCCACCCGGCCCCGCCGCCGTCCCCACGCGGCCCCGCTGTCACCACCGAGCCGCCGGCGCCGCTGAGCCGCCGATCTACCGAGCCGCCGCTGCTGCCGAGCCGCCCGAGCCACCCGAGCCGCCCGAGCCGCCGAGCCACCTGAGCCGCCCGAGCCGCCGAGTCGCCGAGCCGCCGAGCTCCAGTTGCTGCCGAGCCGCCGTGCCGCCGAGCCGCCCGAGCCGCCCGAGCCGCCGAGTCGCCGAGCCGCCGAGCTGCAGTTGCTGCCGAGCCGCCGAGCTGCCGAGCCGCCCGAGCCGCCCTGTCCGGTAAGAGCGGCACCTCTACCACTGCGCTGCCCTTACCCTACTGCTCCAGCTGCTAGTCTACTGCTGTCATGGCTACCCCCAGTGTCCTCGCTTTTGACGCTGAGGGTCGGGCCATTGACTTTGACGTCTGGGTAGATGACCTGCAGCTTTTCCTACAGTGCGACAGGGCAGACGGTCTCTCTCTCTTTGACCTCACTTCTGGTGCCTCTTCTGCCCCTGCTGCTGATGCTGACGCCACTGTTCGCTCACAGTGGGCCACACGCGACGCTGCTGCCCGTCTTGCTGTGCGCCGCCACTTGCCTACCGCTGAGCGTGCACACTTTAGTCAGTACAAGAGTGCTAAGACCTTGTACGACACTGTAGTTGCACGCTACTCTTCCCCTGCCACTGCTGCACTTAGCCGCCTCATCCTGCCGTACCTCTTCCCTGACCTCGCCGCTTTTCCCACAGTCGCTGACCTCATTACGCACCTGCGCACTAGTGACACTCGCTACCACGCTGCCCTTCCTCCTGAGTTCTGCGCCAAGAACCCCCCCCCCTATGTACATCACCCTCTACTACGTAGTCACCCGGCTCCCTGACACCCTTCGCCCGGTCAGGGACCACTTTCTCTCTGTTTGCCCCACCACCCTCACCGTTGACCTCCTCGAGGAGCGCCTCCTAGCAGCAGAGAAGAGCATAGTCGCTGTAGGAGCCTCTCGTGGTGACCCTCGTGCCCGTGTCTTTGAGGGGTGCTCCCCCTCTCCTCTCTTGCCCTCTGTTGCCTCTGCTGCTGCGGCCGACCTCGTTGGTCTTGAGTCGGTCGGTGCGGCGTCTGCCCCTAGCGGGAGACGCCGCACTGGCAAGGGCAAGGGGGGCAGGGGCGCTGGAGGAGCTAGCGGGGGCGGTGGAGGCGGCGGTGGAGGCGGCGGAGGGGGTGGGGGTGGCGGTGGGGGTGGTGGCGGGGGTGGGGGCGTCGGTGGCGGCAGTGGAGGCGGAGGCGGCGGCGGCGGTGGCGGTGGGAGCGGAGGTGGCGGAGGTGGCGACGGTGGAGGAGGCGGCGGCGGAGGAGGTGGAGCTGGTCGGGGTGGCGCTGCGCAGAGGGTCGGCTCCGGTGGTGGTCAGCGCCAGCAGCAGCAGCAGCAGCGCACTCGTGAGATCCCCCCCCCTCAGCAGCTTCGTGAGTGGTACGCTGCACGCCAGCGGGGTGGGGGTACTGGTCCGTGCACCTACGTCCTACGCACCGGCGACCGCGCGGGTGAGCCGTGCGGGGGTGCGCACTCCACCCAGCGCTGCTTTGGCTGCCTGACGGACGCTTGCGTCACCAGTTCCCTGAGGCCACTGAGATCCCTCGCTGGGGCGAGCTGTCTAGGGCGGGAGTAGCTATCTTTGACCTTGACTTTGATGCTATTCTTGCTGCCATGTATGCTGTGACTATTAGTGATGAGGGTGACTGTTACTGGTGTTTTCCGCCCGACCCGGGCATTGGGACTGCTGCTCTAGGTACTGGTGAGGCTGCTGCTCTAGGTGCTAGCGAGGCTGCTGCTCTAGGTGCCAGTGCGTCTGCTTCCTCAGGTGCTGGTGAGTCTGCTCTCTCAGGTACTGCGTCGGCTCCGGCCTCCCACACCTTCACTCTTGACTCGGGGGCTTCTCGCTCCTTCTTTCGAGACCGCACCACACTCACGCCGCTTGGTCGGCCAGTTGCAGTCTCTCTGGCAGACCCCTCTGGGGGTCCTGTCCTTGCTCACTTCTCCACTGTCCTCTCGTGTCCGGCGGCCCCCTCTGGCACCCTGTCTGGTCTTTACCTCCCCTCGTTCTCTACGAACTTGGTGAGTGGTGCTGACCTACAGGATGCGGGGGTTCACCAGTTCACTCCTGCGAGCCAGCGTGTGACCCACTGCACGGACGCTCGGACGGGCCGACACTTGGCCACGTTTACACGTCGGCCGGGGTCGAGCCTATACACACTGACCACTGAGTCTCCTCCAGTCACTGCGTCTGGTCAGGCAGCTGCGTCGGGTCAGGTGTTTGCTGCAGCGTCCAGGTCTGGTCCTGAGTCTGCCCCCTGCTCGTGTTGCCTCCTGTCTCACGAGACTCTCCTCTGGCACCACCGCCTTGGTCACCCCTCCCTGCCTCGTCTCTGAGGCATGGCCTCCCGTGTCCTTGTCTCTGGTCTTCCCCGGTCCCTCCCTCCCCTTCCTCCGGGGCCTGCCCCTACCTGCGTCCCCTGTGTCGAGGGGCGGCAGCGTGCTGCCCCTCACTCCTCCCAGTTTCCTCCGACAGAGGCCCCGCTGCAGACGCTTCACATGGACGTGTGGGGCCCGGCCCGCGTCCGTGGACAGGGTCACGAGCGCTACTTCCTGCTGGTGGTTGACGACTACTCGCGTTACACCACAGTCTTCCCCTTGCGCAGCAAGGGTGATGTCACTGAGGTGTTGATCGACTGGATCCGCGCAGCTCGTCTCCAGCTCAGAGAGAGTTTCGGCTCGGACTTTCCTGTTCTGCGTCTGCACTCTGACAGAGGCGGAGAGTTCTCCTCTGGCCTTCTGCGAGCCTACTGTCGTGCACGAGGCATCCGCCAGACCTTCACGCTTCCGGACTCTCCACAGCAAAATGGGATTGCTGAGCGCCGCATTGGCATGGTCATGGACGTCGCCCGTACGTCCATGATGCATGCGGCTGCCCCCCATTTTCTGTGGCCGTTTGCGGTTCGGTACGCGGCGCATCAGATCAACCTTCAGCCCAGGGTC